CTGCTATCAGGGGTTTCCACAAACGTCGTAGCACTAGTAGTAGCACTAGTACTAGTACTCGTTCTAGTACTAGTACTAGTACTAGCAGTAGTAGTAGGAGTAGTAGGAGTAGTAGGAGTAGTAGGAGGAGTAGTACTAGTAATAGCAGTAATAGTAGTCGTCGTCGTCGTCGTAGCAGCAGCCGCATCAGCAGCATCAGAGTAGTAATAATTAGTCGTCGTCGCCGTGGTGGTGGTAGTGGTCGTGGCAGCGGTAGTCGTAGTCGTAGTGATTGTCAAGGTTGGGTTTTTTTGTCAAGCCGCAGCCATAGGCGTAGGAGTAGAGGCAAGTACGAAGATCACAGTCACGGTATGTCACGGTCATGCCAGCGCCTGCCATTGCAAAGAGGACCATGACTGAGCAAAAGTAGGGCAGTAGCCGTGGTGTTGGTGGGGCACAGATTGTCAGCTGCTGATTCGTTTCTTCAACGATAGCAACATGCTGTCTTATTGTCGTAGATGATTTAAATCAAGCGCCAGATTGATCTTCAAACGCTTAGTTTCCCAACTCAGCTGAGGATTCGGCCGCAAGCCAGGACTATGTTTATCCCAAGGTTGTTGATGCGGAGACCCTTGAAACCGAAGAGGTCGTTGTGTCTTCCTGCACAGTCATGGCCCTCGAGACGACAGAGATGCTAAAGATTGACAAGCTCCGCTTCTTTGAGATCTTGAAAGACCACTCAGATCCATTCCAGAAGCTTGGCCCGGTGTTTTCACCTTTTCTTGTTTTTTTCATGGTGGCCTGGAGCTCCGTAACAAGCATGAAGCCCGCATGTGAGATGCTGAGCACGTTTATCATATCGACCCTTTTCCTTAAACCAGGCAGAAAGCGATAAAGCAGTTGGCCCATCAGTCAGCTCGCACCAGCGTCTGCATGACCCTCAGCCACTTGGCTACTACTGGTGTAGGGCTGTTCTTGTGTTCAGATAATGTTGGTCTGAGGTAAGCTAGTCGGCGAGCAAGTGGGGCAAGATTGCAGGATTGCTCGGCAATCTTGCTCAAGTAATTGTTCTAAATTACCGGCACACCGTACCAGAAGTAGGGTCCTTGACGGTGGCCGTGTGTGCAAGAGGGCCTCGCGTCCCGTCCGCTTCTGCTGCGAGTCCTTGCCAACGCTTCCTAGTGTCCGCGAACGAACGAATGAATGAATGTTCTTGTCCCAATCGCCCGTGTGGGTCTCCGAGAGAGTCTGTGTCTAAAGGAGAATGACAAGAACATGCCTCTGTAGCCTTGTTCGCCCGACAGGCGGTGGTAGTAGTGGTAGCAGTAGCAGTAGCAGTAGCAGTAGCAGTAGCAGTAGCAGTAGCAGTAGCAGTAGCAGTAGTAGTAGCAGTAGTAGTAGTAGTAGTAGTAGTGGTAGAACGGAAACCTCGCACTACCGAAGTCTACATCAGATTCCGTTTACTGGGTGCCCACATCCTATTCAAAAACAGCAGGCTTTACCTACGGAGGCAAAAAGACACAGAAAGCGAGAAAGACTGCGCTTTGCCTCGTCAGCCTTGTCGTTCTTCGACACCGCAACATGCGCACCAGCGCGAGGGAAGGGGTCGATATTTATGAGCGTATGCACGTCTGCATGTATGTGTGTATGTGTATATGTCCGTGTATGTGTAAAAGTGTATGTGTATGTATGTATGTATGTATGTATGTATGTATGTAGGCACGTATGTATGTGCCGGTGCATGTGCATGAGTATGTGTATGTGTTTAAATATTTATTTGTATACATAATCATACGTATAATACTCGTTATATACATATATATATATATATGTGTATATACCTGCAGAAGCTGAGAGCCACCGAGATCGAGCTAGAGCGATTAGCTACTGTTCGGCCTCTTCACGTCTGACTGTTGTGGCTTCTGTGGCTGCTCCAACTTGCGTTAGCACAAGATGCCTGACAAGGTGAGATGGACCGATCTGAAGGTCGTGACGCAAGGGTTGCTGCAGTGATCTCTGCAGCCTGAAGCAAAACGTCACAGTTCAGCATGTGGCTCTCTCGCTGAGTATTGACTTAGCTGTATGGCTTGAGAGCAAAGTACAAGGGCTTCGGGCAATAGTTCTTCTCATGCTGAATAATCGTTGTCAATTTCTACCATGAGCTTGAAGCTAGTGCTATAGCCAACTTCATCACATTGGGCCGGTGTCAGCTCCACTACCTGCCGAAACCCTAAACTCTGAAGTTCCTCAGGAGCTTTGCTTTCGGCATTTTCGGCACTCTTGCTCGTGCCCCCCAGACTTCCAAGCCAAGAGCGGCCGGACACGAGCGTCCCGTACTGTGCGAATAACGCTTGCTACTCCTACGCAATTGCCACCACAAACACACGACGACCCGGCGACAACGACTACTACTGACGCTACTACTACTAC